ACAGCGAGACTCTATCTAAAAATAAATAAATAAATACTCTACTGATGAAGAAATGGACAATTGCAGCATACCAATTACACATCAGGTACTGTTACATGGATTTGCAAAAAAATTTCTAAAGGACTATTCTTATCCTTATTTTGCAGGGGAGAAAACAGAGGTTTGGAGCAGTAATACGGTTTGTCTGAGGTTACACAAGTAGAAAGTGGTGGAGCCAGGCCTGGGACCCAGACCGAGGCCTGCCTGAATCCACATGCTATACGCTTTCTGTTACTACACAGCTCTGTCCTATTAACACACATTTCTAGAACAGAAGATTTAAACAGATGGCCAGAAAGCACTTGGAAAAGAAGGTGGTAAGCCTAGGTGCCCACCCAAAGAAACAGGGCAAACCAAACCCATCACTGTCTTTGATAGGATCTCTGGTCTGGCAGATCTGGGCAAGGCTATAAGACATTCCAGGTCTCTCAAATTCAGCAATGTGTTTAATAAGGTGTCCATCACTAGTTGGAACAGAATGAAAATCTGTGTCCCGCATGAGGACATAATTAGGTGAATCATTGTGTGGTGAACAAAGGAGGCTGAAGTGTGTTATCCATCGATGGAGGAAAAACTGGAGTGTGGTGACATGCCCCAGTGCTCTGTCCTTGGCCTAGTTTCATTTGCCTGTTTGTTCACTCACTCACTCCCAGCATTTATTGAGTGGCAGTGCTATATAAAGCCCTATGTCAGGTACAGGGGATTTGTGGTGAACACCGGAATGTGCCATGCAACCTTCCCTTCAGGAGGGTTTCTTGTGCCAGCTGCTGGGAGCACTAGTGACTTTAGCTGTTGACATTTCACCCTCCAGCCTTGACTTCAGCCTTCAACTGATGACATTTCAGGGTCTGCTTCAGCTGCAGAGAGCCACCTCACCTGAGGTCCTGCCCCTTCCTGGTGTGGCCCATACTGAGGTACTGGTTACTATAGCAGCATAAATGCTATTGATCTGAGCCAAACTTACGATAACTCTGGAGGCTCATACTAGCTCCAGAGTTCCCCTGGGATCAGCTCAGACTGTTGTTGGACGTGCAGAGCTCAACTTCTCCCTCTTCCCACAAATGTCAAGCCTGAGGTCATTCAGGCCTGCACACTCAGGCTTGCACACTCAAGCTTGCACATCTTGCACACTTAACTTGTAGTTGGAGTCAGTCTGCTTCTTGGAAAACCCATGGGCAAAAGAAGGGGCCTTGTCCTTTGTTCATCCCCTAAAGAGCACAGCTACAACCAAGAACCGAAGTTACATATTTGGTTTAATAAAAGAAAGACTTTCATGAAACAGGCTGCATCAAAAAGCAGTGAACTTTTGTGAGACGGAGGGAGCACTGTTATTGTTGGAGGGATATGTATCAACCAAACAAGTCGATAATTTACTGAAATTTGTTTCTGTTCATCCTGCTGTTAGATAGTATGCAGCATAGCAGCACTAGTATTTATAAATTGATATTTATACATTTTTTTAAAGGGAACTTTCTGGATTCAATAGATTCTAGGAATAATTTTTAAGACAAATGGTGAAAAATCCCATTTCCTAATGAACTCCCTGAAATAATCTGAGATTATTTAAAACATAGTGGCAGAAACTGTCAACATCCACTGATAGTCACTTTTTTCCTTTGTCTTTTAGTAACAGAATCCTGAATTTTAGCTGGTTACATGTCTATCCAGCAAAAGACTACATTTCCTAGACTCCCTTGCAACTAATGTGCTCCTGTGACTAAATCATGACCAATAAGATCTGAGTAGTAGTGATGTGTGCAACTTCTGGGTTAAACTCGTGAAGTAAGCCACTTGCTTTTCATTTCTTTCTTTCTTTCTTTCTCTCTCTCTCTCTCTCTCTCTCTCCCTTCTTTCTTTCTTTCTTTCTTTCTTTCTTTCTTTCTTTCTTTCTTTCTTTCTTTCTTTTCTTTCTTTCATCTCAAGGCTGAAACATGGAGGTGCTTGCTAGTGCTAAGGCAGCAGCAACCCCCTAAAAAAGGTGGAGCAATAATGCAGAAAATTTCTGGGTTTTTGAGTGACCCCTGGGGTAGGGCTCTAGTGCCTCTGGACTGCCTATCAGCTTTGACTTTTGTATGCGAGAAAAATAAACCACCTATTTTGGTTAAGCCTTTATTATTTTGGTCTCTGTTAAAATAGCTCAACCAACATTCTAACTTATATAGATGCCAAATCAACAACTCAAACTTGGGTAATGTTTGTTCTTTGCCCTGTAAGCATTGTATCTTATCAGAAGACTACAACATGATGAGAATAGGGATTAGCATTCTTTTTTCAGTAAGGTAACTTGTGCATTATCCCTTCCTCTTTTCTGATGCTCTGCCTTGTCCTGGTCTACATTATATTTTATTTCTATACAAAAATCAAGGGCCAAGGCAAGATCTGGACTAAAATTATGTTTATTTGTCTAATATACTGTAGTATTTTTTGCTGGCAATTAAAACCCCAATGTTGCTGAAGTTTTGTTTTTGAGGAGTAATTTTCAGATAGGTTTATACTGAATATACATATAGATACATGATTCATTGATTCTATTTCATTTCATTCATTTATTAATTTGACTACCTAATCTATACAGGGAAACTACTCAAGTAAAATAAAGCCAATTCATGATAAAAGACATCAAAATCAATTATAATGCATGGATATCTATTCACAGATGGGTGAAAAGAATAAGTAAACAACTTTATCTTAAAAACTTAAAAAAAAAAAGAAATCAGAAGTCCAATGTAAGCCATTGTTATGAATAATTTATCATTTCAAATATCCCTATTCCTATGGATGTAATGATGGATGCTTTTGTAGCATAAGAACCACCACAGCCTGAATGAAATATTCTGATATATCATTAACTGGTGTTAGTACCTGTAGAAAGTGTAGATATATAAATGTCTGCTTGTTTGGCTGAAAATAACTACAGTTGTTCAAATCATTGCCATTTTTATCATGGCACCAACTGGATTTTAGAAGGTTATGTTTACTCATCTCGTTCTGTAGATAAAGTACTACATATGTCATGTGTTCTCTGTTAACAAATGGCTCTTTATACTTATGTACATCCAGAAACATGCTCACCCTTCTCTAAAGCAGTAATAACAGCCTACTCTCCTATACAAAACATCAAAAATTACAAATATTTGGGAATCATAGTAATAAAAGAGGCAGGTTCTCACAGTATGGGGAACAAACTGGAAGTATGGGGGGTGAGAGGCAGAGCTGGGTGTCCCTCGGTGTGTGGCACTGCTGCAGAATCAGCAGAACCCTGAGGATACTTTCTCTGGGTATCTCCACCTAGTTTTCATTCTGCTTCCCCTAAGATTTTTGTCAATATATTACCTTACAGACAGATGTTGAGAAGAGCTCAAAGTAAACAACCGCTTTTCTTGTTGTACCCTCGGTAAAGTATCTGGATGGAGAAATAGCTACCAGATGACTTAGGCATACGTGTTTTCTTTCTGATTGAGGGGGATCTATTCTTGCCTGGATTTCACTAACTTTCAGCAAATATCTACTATGTTTCTGGATTGTTCCAGCAAGTTTGCTTTCACATAAATTCATTTAATCTTCTGCACTTGACTTTTTAAACTTACCCCAGGTAGCTTCCAAATGTCCACTAAGTTTATTATACAGAGAATAAACTTAGAGAAGCAAATAAAATAAACTGCACAGAATGGCTATAAACTGGTTTCATGCATTTAAATAGAGTTTTAGTTTAAAAAGTGATTCAGTAAGTGAAAAATGATTTGAAAGATGCCAACTGAGGAATGAAGTTATTAGAACTCTTAGGCCAATATATATGTGAGTTGAAGATTTGTATCTTCCGCTGCAGAAAGGAGAGAAAAGTGATATATTTCATTCCTCCCTTTTCAGGAAAACATCTTAGGCTAGCAAGTGAGTATATCATTCATTCAAAATTACCTGAAATATCATCTGCTGTGGTTAGTTATTCTTAGAAATCATTTTAATTGTCACCAACTATAGTGATAAAAGCCATTATAAGCACTAAAGAAGGTATCAGTAAAGACTTTATTCATCCTAGGCAGGCTAAAGTTTATACTCAAAGGATGGGTGATTGCAACTCCTTTAGAAAGGTTGGTTGAGATTTCTGGAAGCATCTCGAAAATGGTTCGGCATTTATTAACTACTCTGTCCAAGGGGAATACTATAGGGAGATTATATCTCTCTAAAGAAGATGCCAAGAACATATTAGCTGCTAGTTTGAGAGCCTTCATCTGCTTTTCATAGCTATTTTTAGAAAACAATAGTGGCATTTATCAAACACCATGAGAAAACATTGTAAATGTTGGAACTCAGAATTCAGCAACTAAAGAAATTTAGTAAATGGAAATTGGGGAAAGGAAGCACAAATTGTGGAAAAACACCTATTTGAATAATATAAATAGGGCAATACCTGTATTTGAGGTGCCTTAAAGATGAGAGTATTTAACACAACTCAATAATAAAATATAATGAAGAATATTAATTTTAATATCTATTTATACTATGATTTTGATTACTTTTTTTGGAGCACAGCAATGTAAAAAGATTTTAAAGCAATTTCCTTGGTTTTCTTTTCATGTATTTTTTATGTGATATATCATAAAAAAAGAAACTCAGATGTTTTTTAAAAAAAATCACTGTTAGTAAATCTGTGAACTGCATGTTGTTTTTAATTGCTAAGTCTGCTTCAGAAGTATGTCTGGATAATGTTTTTATTTATTTTCTTTCTTTTTAAACTGCTTGCAGGAAAATAAATCAAAAGAAAATGTGGTTCCATGCATTTTTACCATTTTGAAAAGCACGAGAGCTGCAGTATAAAATGAGTGAAACTTTCTCAAGGTAGAATGAGCTGTTTGAGGTTTATAGAGTTCATAAAATGGTGACCACATGCAGCTTGCAATTTAAGGAGTTTCTGATTGACAGAACATAACATAAACAAAGCTTAACATTAAAAAGCCACTCACCACTGGTGATGGGGAAAGTGCAATGTTGCCTATTGATGCCTTCAGTTCATCGACAGTTGCAGCATTCTTAAGAATGTCTTTAGATTGCAACGGTTTAATCTTGATATTAAATTTCTTGTGTGATTCTTCTTCCTCTTCTGATTCACTCGAAGAATAAAAGTGCTTTCCTTTGGTAGGTAGAACACAGTTAAAGATACATAACTCTTTCTTCCACTGGGAGACAATGACAAGTAAGAGACAAAAGCCATTGCGCATGGAGACAGCAAAAAGCATCCTTAGATGGCAGAAAATCTAGGCGAAACGAACAAAAACGAAACATGAAAGGGTTAGGATTTATTCACCTTTCCTCAGAACATGGTCCAGGATGGTGAATTTCAAGAAGCAGAGGTGACAATGTCCTATGTTTTTGCTGCAGTTGGCCATTTGTGGTGTCTCACTCAGCACACACACAAACAAGCACAGTGAGCTTCTTCATCTACAGAGAGAAGAAGGCTGCTTTCAGGACAATTAGTGATGAGTTTTAAATGCTTCAGGGTGTGACATGCTTTGTCCAGAGATGAACTGCGGGGAGAGGACAGTAAGGGCTGTTTTCCAGTCACTATAAATGACATCGTCATATCAAGTTTTAGCAGACAGCCCGGTACCCACAATTTGCACAACTGTTTTTCAGCACATTTTTCTCTTTTCTATGAATAGATTAAGGCAAAATGCCTGCTCATTAGGGATCAGGCTGTTCTCTACACTGTTTATTCTAATATTAGGAATAACAGGACTTGGGAAAATGAGATTATTTCATCACCTTCATAAAACTTCAGTTAATCTTAACTGTTTTCTGAGAGTGAATGTAAAAATTACAATAAAAAAATAAAGAAAGGATATAGCCGGGTTCCTCGGGTCTGATACTGTAGCCTTCTTCATCCAGCTCAGGTGAGTTCTATAAAATACAAGTGCACGTTAAGCAATTATTATGCTGACAATGATCAAAAAAATTACACATTTTCCTTTTGGAGTCTTCTATTTAAGGATATAGACAAGTCTCTTAGGAGACTAAGATTTTAATTTTTGGAAGCAAATGCTGAGCAATATGTTTAGATGTTTATGCAAGGATACTTGCAGAGTCCTCCAACTGGGAAAATAAACAAGGAATTAACTGAATATGATAGAAAGCCTTCAAAGAGAATATAGCATGCATTTCCTGTAAGCCAAAGACTGTACTAAGCAACATAGGGGATATAAAATGCAAATCATCTGTCCTCAGGGAAATTGAAATGTATTTCCGGGAGGCAAAAATTAGAAACAAAAACAAAAACCACAAAACTCTATTGTTAGAAAGGAGTTCAAAGAAAAGGAATCAGGGAGGTCTGCATGGACCTTTCAGTTCAAATAGGAGAAAGCAGAGTGGGAGCCCCTGGTGGGTGGCGGGGAGGAGCCCTCACTCAGACACCAGGCAGGATGGACTTGTTTCAGGTGGGGAAAGGCAGGGGCTACCGCAAAGATAACAGGACTGGAGGGGAGCAGCCCAGTGGGGGATGGGGAAGTAGCACCAAGGGTGGCCAACAGGCTAGGGGAAGAGTGTGGACTTGCTGTAGCTGCTGCAGCTTCTCAGTTAGGGTGGGACATACTGAAAGCAGAACCTTAAGGTGTTCTGGAGGTATGTTCCAGGAGAGCCTGGGGGCAGAGGAAACAGGAGGAAGGAAAACTAATTCAGAATGCGTGCATCAATTCAGGCAAGGTGTGTTAAGAACATGGATTGAGTTATTGTTGGTGGGGTGGGATGAATCGAGGACATCTGAAAGGATCGATTGCTGGTTCTTGGTAATAGATACAGTTATAGGAGAAAAAGGAGAGGAAGGGTTCAAGAAGACACCAATGTTTCTACTCTCAAATCCTGGGAAAGCGCTGGGACTTCAAGCTGAACTAATCCTAACAGTGGACAAGTAAAGTTTTTTGGGGAAAAAGCTGGAAAGATAAAAGGCAGCTTGTATTGCTGGGATTAGTATGATCATAATTTGAGTTCCTATTATACATTAAGTATTGTGACCCACACTTTGTCTCTCTGAACCACATAGTAGCCATATATGGAAAGAATTATCCCATTTAATTGTCCCATTATTTAGGAGAAACTAAGAGAAATCAGATGCCATTTCACAAGGAAACACGCCCAGCAAATGCCAGACGTAGGCCTTAAACCCAGGCATTTTGAGACTGTCTCCTATGCCCTAGAGAGCAGGAAGATGACGAGTTCAAAGGTCGCCCTGTTGAAGTCAAGGTTTTAGGCCTGGCAGTGGGAGGGGACATAGTTGGAGAGGGTTTTAGGAGTCACTGAAGCAATAAAAATACCATGGCCATGGAGAGAGAAGACATCATGGAAAAAGTGATCATTTTTGAAAAATTCATTTTTTTTAATATTTAAGGCAGCCACAGCTGAGTAGTTGTGCTCTCCTTACACTGGTCCTGGGCTGGAATCCTGAGTTTGTGGCCGTTGGACTCCATGTATCTATGTCACCTGCTTGGCTCAAAAGGGCACCTGAGATTTTGTGTCAGAGCCAAAAACTTCTGACAGAGAATTCGAAATGGTCAAATAAGTGGAATGAAGTGAATGACATGAAACTGTTACATCACTGGACATTTTCAAGGGCCTGTCGGTGTCTGTGGGCAGTTAATTCTCTTGCATAGGATCACTTAAACCTGATGATTTGATATACATGTACGTAGTGAAACGATCACTACTGTGGAACTCATTACTGATTACTACAGGCAAATTTACATTTCTGTGACCTTCCATAGTTACCCGTGTGTGTGTGTGTGTGTGTGTGTGTGTGTGTGTGTGTGTGTGTGTGTGTGATAAGAGCACCTAAAATGTATTCTGTTAGCAAATTTTCAGTCCACAATATGATATTAGTAAGTATAGTCCCCAGGCTGCACATTAAACATCTAGATTTATTCACATTTCCTCACTGCAAATTTGTACCCTTTGACCTACTTCTCCCATTTCCTCCCCCTCCCTGCCTCTGGTAACTATCGTTCTATGTTGTTTCTCTTCATTCCACTTTTATTTATTTATTTTTTACATTCTGCATGTAAGAGAGCTCATGCAATATTCTCCTTTCTGGAAAACCATCATTTTTTGAGCATCTATTATAGTCTTCCTTTTGCTCTTCTTCAGTACTACAGAGTTACTTTTCTTTCTTTCTTTCTTTCTTTCTTTCTTTCTTTCTTTCTTTCTTTCTTTCTTTCTTTCTTTCTTTCTTTCTTTCTTTCTTTTTTTTTTAAATGCAAGGGTATTGAGGTCACTTCCCTGCTAAAAACCTGTCCCTGGCTTCCTACTGCACTTAGTATAAAAGCCAAGCACCTCTGTATAGTCACCAAGGCCTGGAAGTCTGGCTCCTGTCCCTCTCTCTAGCCTCATGCCTGTGACTCTCTTCCCGTGGTCCCCTCGGCCACATGCTCTCCTTCCCATAGTTGACTTTTGTGATGTGGGTGCCACTGTCTCATTTCAGGGTTCTCATCGGTGATGTTCCCCCGGCCTGCAATTCACTTCCCCCAAATGTTCAGGCAGTTAACCTGTACTTATCAGAGATTACTAGTGACCTCCTTAGTTACTAGTGACTTTACTATTTAATGTGTAAACATTAGGTCTTTGCTTAAAAGTCTCATCCTCCCTGAGGCCTTCCCTGCCAGAGTCCAGATGGTAGAATCTAGGAAGAATAGAACCTTCTTGTGACTTAGAGAAATTGGTTTCTAATGCATACTGATCATAGCAATGCCTCTGTGATGTGATTAGTTTTTTGGACTAAATAAATTTGAGGGAAGTTATGCTTCATTTAAGCATGTTGACCAGGTATAGTACTAGAGGTTAGAGTTTTTGTGCTAGGTAAGAGGCAGTGTCTAGAATTTGATGAGTAATTTGGTATTTTAATCAGCATATTTCCTGTTTGCTGAGACTATCCCATTCTTGTGTATTATAGAATCCCACAAAATATAACAGGGTCTTTCTAGGTAAAAAAATAATTAATGTTGGGAAAAGTAACCACCCTTTAAAAATGTCTGATAGCTTCCCTTATAACATTATTTGTGAACAATTGGTGAACATATGTTCTAGGGAATTGAACTGCTAAAAATATCAAAATATCTCAATCCTGGGAAATATAAGATATAAGATATATTATATTCACTTGTAAGGAATGTAAGAGAGGACCAGGTAGTAAGTTGGTAGGGTGACATGTTTTGGAGTGTTAGGGTGGGAAGCATGAACAATTTAGCCTTTCCAAGCCACAGTTTTCTCTAAAATGCAGACAATGTATTATTTACCTTTTATGAATTTAATAGCATTTAATATTATGAATGACAAATAGTATTCAATAAATGGTAGTATCATTTATTATAAAAATTCTTATTAGCAAATAGGCAAAAGCTTTAACATCAAGCTTAACTTTTAGGAAAGGGGGGCTTGAGCAAGAAGAGTCACCTAAAGGATAAGAGCAAAGGCATTTTGTAGGGATGGTGAATTTGAGCACTTACTATGCAATAGAAGTGACCTTCGATGTGAGTATGTTCTACATGTTCTATATGACTAGAAATCCAACAGCGATCCTGGGTCTGACAGACTCTACTGCTCTTCATCTCTGTACCATCCTAAATGTGCCAGGCATTTCCTAACAAGATGGGGAGTGTTTCGCTTATTTCTACATCCTATTATAAGAATGCTTCAACTCATTTTTAAGTTGTGTAATAGTTAATAGAGAAAAACAATCTTCTGGATACTCACATATCTTTCCCAATCAATTTCTGCATAAAATCCATTTGGTGCCCCATTGCTTTTCTTCTGTAACAAATTTGAAAATAAATTTAGAAGGGAAACACTGGAACAACAACAACAACAACAACAAAAGGAACAAAGAACACTTAACTCTATTTGCATTTAGCAAGAAAAAGCTACCAAAATCCAGCCCTGGAAAGACACAATAGAGCAGCCTAAGAAGAAGCCACATCAGAATTACTGAATGGTCAACTAGCTGCCGTGACACAGCACAAAAGGGCTGCATACTTATTTCACAAAAGACTGTAGGATACGGAGGCATAGGGAGATTAACAACTAGCTGTTCAAATTTTACTCAATTACTGAAGAATTAGCGGCACCTACATTATAATTTAATCATCTATACCTTCAGGGGATATAACCACACACATATATATTAAGTGGAAACACTTTGATTTCCATGCTGCTCTTATATACAATTAGTTCTAACATATCCAGAGTACTCGTTCAAGTCATTAACTACTCTTTTAGCATTTCTAACACTAAATCAATTTTTTTTTTCTAATCAACCCTCTGGTAAAATATAAAGAAAGTCAGCTCAAAATTAGTTAATTTAGCTCGTAGTTATTAAAAAATAATGTTGATAATTTTTCAAATGGCTTTTCTTATGAAATTATTAAAATAGAATTTGAGGATTAATGGTGGGTTTCTGTCATCCATGTGATCTATTCTTCGTGAGCACACATCCTTGCAAGTTGACTGGATCTCAACGTTACTCTCTTTTGACTAATTGAAAGTTTTATTTTTTCACCCAGTACAACCATGACATACATCCACAAGCATTGAACAAGGATGTGGCATCACGAAATAGAAATTGCTAAGATTCTCTACTTTTGGGGAGCAAAGGACGAAAACACAAATCAGGTTGGTAACGGAGGGTCCATCCAATGACATTCTTGTATTTAGCACATCGAGCAATGGTATGTCACTGAGCGATAGCAGATCGCAGAACAACACATATCAAATGGTGATGTATGAGGCTTGAGGACAGGACCTCTAATTCTGCAATCACAAATAAAGGCCACTTGAACTACAGTGTAAACAGCTAGAACCCAGTCTTACAAATAGATGGAGAAGTAAGCTTTTCATGTCTGCATATAGGATCACTAGATAACCCAGAATAAACATCATCATGGATTAACACTGAATGTTGACTGGGCATTCTAATAACTAGCAGTGATTTAGCAAGGGCAAATAGTGCACAAGGAATAGTTAATGTGTTCACACCCCCTCCCTTCCTATACACTACCATTGCACCAGAATTTACACATACGAGAAATCTGTCATGCCTTCACACACCAGCACCCCAGAAAATGAGGCCTGTGCCCACCTTCCTCTATGCCCTGTTCCCAACTAAGATTATTTGCCCTCAGACTACTACATCTTCATCTTGTCATAGAATTGCCTTCATTGAATTAATGCTTCAGTGATATTCTTTCTACTTTGGAAAAGGTCTTTTTAAAAACCTGACACATCAACTCTATACATGTACACTTATGAGGCTACTGCTGAGAACATGGTACATTAAATAATGTATCACTTAATAAAAATTCTTCTATCACCTAGGAATGAACATAGTTCCTATTTTCTTTTTATCATAATTTGCTTTCTCTTTTAATTCCTACTTTACCGATCTGTTTGTATATGACTTCTTGGCAAAATGCTCCAACTCCTTCTTAGAAAGCATATATAATAAACAAGTTTAATATAGAAATTTAATTTGTAATAATAGGAAATCAGACAGACTAAGTTGATTCTAGAGAAATAAACTCATGAATTTTGTGATCTAGGATGGTTATCTAAAAGCCAGAGGTTAGGTAAATTACATGACAATCTCATCTCTGTAACTAAAGCCCTTCAAAACTGAGATAGTTTATATGTTCAGCTGAATGGATTATATATATATATATATATGTGTATGTATACATTTTTTTCCTTCCTGACAACATATATTTAACATCGTAGATTAAAAAAGTTCCTGAATTTTGAGATCTGGGCTGAGTGAAAATTTCCCAGTTTCTATGAAAATCAAAGGAAGATTGAGATAAAGGGAAAGAAAAACGTATAAAATAAATTTTCTCGTAAAATAGGAACATTTTGAAAACAAATACTAGAAACAAACAACAAATCATAACAAGCAGATATTCAAAACACACACACACACACACACACACACACACACACACACACACACACACACACACACACGGCTACCTTTCTTAGAGGAATTTGGATTCATTCATACCAGCGAATTCTTACAATAGCTTTGGTTTCACAAGTGAAAATTATCAAGTTAAAGCTAAGCCAGAGCCTGGATAGGATCCTTCTGGCAAAAGCTCAAGAAAAAACAATTCTCACGTGTTAACCCTTGAGTAAGGTGCAGCTCACTGTAGTGGTGACAGTGAAGATAAAGACTCTATTGATTTTCAGGTGGGAAACTTTGAAGAAGCAGCAAGGGAGAATGTAAGTAGGGAAACACCACTTAGAAACTAGGCTTGACAGTGAAAGCAATGTAAGTTATTTACCAACAAATAAACAGTGATTTCTCTTTTGGAATTGGAGTAATATATATTCTTTCACTTCTCCCTTTTCTGTATTTTCTAAAATTCTATACTTAACATAAGTAACTTTTATAAATTGAATATGATTGTTATTTAAAGAAAATTGAGCCTCACAGTGATGTTAATCTTGTCTTAATAGGTATTTTGCTTAAGTTAGGCTTATCTGTTCTCAGATAACATGTTGAGCTAAATAAATAAATGTAGTAACAATTATGTTCAATTACGCATTTCATCAAAATCCTCAATTTCAATTGTGAATGCTCCTACTTTCCACTACTTAGCTCATAGCCAAGTAGTGATTTTTGGGGGAGAAGTATTAAAGATATATAATGTACTGACTAAGTATTTTTCACCACTGAGGTAGACCTGACTCATTGTGTAAATAACCCTATAGAAGAACAGCACTGTGCAATCGAACTGCCTGTGAAGATGGCCATGCTCTGTCCGTGTGCTGTCCAGTATGGTAGAGCTTGAAATGTGGCAAGTGTGACTGAGGTACTAAATCTTAACTAAACAGCCACTGCTGGTACCATGTTGCACAACACAGCCATGGTTACCGCATAGTCTGAGCTGGATCAGCATCTCTGACCTGACATCCTTTGGTCAAGTACACTGGTTCCCACAGACTGAGTTCCTGCCAAGTTCCCGGTGTTATTGAGATAGCGCTTATCCTAACAAATGACCACTCAATTTGCATGGTGTTGTTTATATGACAGCCAGAGCCTTCTTTATAGATAGCAGATTCTTTTTAAAATCTGAATCTTTCTTTTGTCTAAGACAAGGAAGCACCCATCTTTTATGCCTGCTCACTCTTTAAAAGTATGTTTGGACATCAATACGTAAAATCTGTATGGTTGATCTACAAATTGGCCCCAGGTATTCGAGAAGTAATTTGGAAACACCTACGAGTCTCCATAAATGGAGTACATAAAAGGCACTGTGTATTCCAGATTTTAAATCGGGATTTTACTCACTGTTTCTACAACCCCTTGGAAATGTTTAAACTAAAATCTGTTTCCTTACCGAAACTTTTTTTCCTCCTTCACGCGCACACTCTGCTTTGCTATTGTAGGGTGGTTCATGTGGGCTGGGCTGCTGGAATTGATTGTGTTCATGTAGAAAAAAGTTGTTAAAGGATCTGTTTGTTCTTCAAGACACATATAAAGAATCACATGGAGTCAGCAAACATACGATAGAAGAAACCATTTCTAGGCCAAATTGTACGGCCTACCAATCGTGGCAGGGCTCCTCGAGCAAAGAGTGGACTTTGGGGCCCATAATGAGGCTCTATTCAGCAGGCCAGCTTGGCTAGCCCAGGAAAAAAAGGGAGAAGGAGGTAGGTACATCCCAGGCACTAGGGACTTTGTGGATCTACTCCTCATTCAGTCAGCACTTAATTTACAAGTAGAGAACAGACACAAGGACACACAAGAAGAAACTGAATTAAAACGGTTGTATCTCTAATCTAAGTATGCGAAGTTTAGCTCCGCCGTATTTTCCCTTGCAACAAAGTCATTCTGGGCGTCACCACTCCATACAGCACACACAGCTGACAGCTCCAAATCTGTGCCCCTCCCTGCACATTTGTTCAGGATAAGCTGAAAAGATCTCTTTACAGCAAGGACTAGGACCCTGGTCAATGAGTGGAGGGAAACTGGAACTGCTTAGGAAAAAGTTAGTGTACCCTGCACAGATTAGAGTTTGTGTCTGGGTTAGGACACATTGTCACACACAGCTACTTGAGGTCTCGGACACCATGAGAGATGGTTCTGCCAGGGATGGGGACATTCAGCCAGTGGGGAGCAAGGCAAGCCCACCTTCACATGCAGCCTTGCCATGAAGCCGCTAGAGACTAAACCCCAAAAGCATTGTCACCAGAGATGGGCTTTGTTGGATTTTGAGGAACTAAAATGAAATAAGCACCAGTACATTTAAGCTCTTGTGTAGCCCCTGTGTTTACCAAGAAGTTTATAAGCATTACGTAGGTGCACCACCACCTGTAGTGAGTGGACCCACATTAATGAAACCGTATATTTCCACTAGCTGCTGGCTAATAACTTTCAATTACCTGTGAAGTTGTACACCTTATTCCTGAGAAAATGCATTTATTTTGAATGCAGGCTTTTCTGGAACAGGTCTGTGTTATTTCCCGAGAAATTGCAATGAAATAATTCCTCTTTCCTAAAAATCATGACGAGTGATATTTATGGCATTTCTAATTAAGTGCTAATAAGTAACTTTGTGTGACTTGGATTGGTGGAGACCAAGGAGGACTTGGGGAACTTGGGCATGCAGCCCTGACCTGGGGTGGATGAGTCCTCAGGATGACTGCGGGGTTCATTAATGCAGCACATACTCATAGTCGCCTGCTAGATGCCAGCTGCTGCACCAGGTACCCGGGTGCATGTTCTACCAGCGATTTTTGGTGCTGCCCAGAAGGGCAGAAAATCGTGAGGAGGTAGCAACGGGACCTCAGAGACAATGAGTGGAGGTTTGGAGAAAAAAAAAGGGGGGGCACGACTGAGAGTGGCAGAGGGAGAGAAGCAAGAAATAGCAAGCCAGTTTGGGAGCGGCAAGGATAGAAAGCAGAGTAGCTAACAGAGCCTGGCAAAGTTCAGAATGGAAGGGGATGAGAGGACCCAGGGAGGGGACCAAGCCAGAAGCAAAGAAAAGACATGGAAGTGGAGAGTACCTGAGACAGAGTTAACGAGAGGGCTCTGAGCCAGAAGCAAGAGGTGAGGAGAAGCTGAGTCTTCTGGGTCTTTTTTTTCCCCTGCTGAATAGAGCCTTGATTATAGTGTTACCCAATGTCTGATCAATTTCAATCTATTTTCTTAACATTTCACGGTGAGAACCACATGAACGCAAAAAGCACCCCAAAACTAAAAACCTTGAGTCAAATGTGGGAGAAAAACTCTTTCTATCACTGCAATTAACACACCAATTTAGGTATAATAGTATAAAGGGTGATTTAAAAACTGTTTTTAACCACCAGGTTTATTTTAGTTCCCACTCCACCCCAATGAGCCTAATGTGAGTCCATTTTTTTTTTTTCAGTAACAGCTGTTCTTTTGAACCTTCTGAATAGGAATCTGATTTAGATTTGAAGGAAGTCATTTCAGAAATTGATGCAGACTCCCAGAAGTGCAACTCACATAAATCTAAGCCTGTGCGCCACAGACTTCTTTAAAAAGCAAGAATTCTGGTGGCCAGCAAGGACTCAGAATTACGGTTAAATCTAAACCCAGTGGACACATTTTCCTCCTCCAGACTGTAAATTCAGGCATAAGTGGTTTTAAGACCATTCCCTAGTTTTGAATTTAATATAGAAAATGTATCTGCAGCACAAACTACTACAGGGGAAAAGTTTCTTTCAATTTTATTGGATCTCAGCTCCATTATGACTTTGTGGCCTCTGTTGGCAAAAAACATTCTCACATAATGAGCTTCTACATCATTAAATTGGAAATGAAATAACAGTTGATGGTAGCAGCCTCTGCATGAACTCTCTGGCTCCTGACGCCCCATCTTGACAGCTAGTTTGCTTGCGTACGCTGGGGCAGGGCTTTAGGTGAATGCAATAAATAAGTCTAACTTGACCAAGACTACATTTATGTCCCATGCAATCACTATAGAAAATTACAACAGTGAGAGGTCTGAAGAAAAGTCATCCAAGCTATTTTTTTCCCTACAGGAAAACAAAAATAATAACAGGGCTATAAGAAATTTAGACATAGCATATATTGAAGTGCAAACTCACTAAAAATGGTCATTTAAATACTTACAATTCCATCTCTATCTGGTGAACCTCTGTAACAAAAAGAAATTGATAGCTATTATGAAGATGAATCATTCTTGCTACATAGACTAAAAGTACAAAAATAATTAACCACCACCCTCGCCTCCCACGTATTCCCACCCCAGTAAACCTGGCTAATGAAAACTAAATCAAAACAAATTGCTTGAGTGACATTTAAATGTGGGGTATGTGTATCTGTGTAGGGGAAGGATATTCTCATTAAAAGCTAAAGTCCAAAAGGCACAGGTTGGTGGGGCTGCGGCGTGCCTTGGTCTGCTTTTGAGAGGAGAGTTCATTAAAGAGTTCATCCCAGTCTACTGAGCCCCATTTACCACTATCACAAGGCATGTCGACCAACTTGCTCCCTCTTATCTTTCTTAAAAAAATTATTGTTTTTTTTTTTTTTCAGAGACAAAGTCTCCCTATGTTGCCCAGGCTGGAGGACAGTGGCTATTACAGATACAATCATTGGGCACTACAGCCTTCAACTCCTGGCCTCACTGTGATCCTCCCTCCTCAGCCTCCTGAGTGGCTGGGACTACAGGTGTGCACCACCGTGCCTGGCCCTCTTATCTTTCCCCCTGTGAATGGTCCTGAATTGCATCCTGTAAGATACAACGTCTGTGGTATTTTTCAACTTTATCTTGAGAATCTGTAATTTCTATATTTATCTCTTCTTCAGTTATAGGATAGCAGGAGATGGAGGGCAATATTTTGCTAAATGGCCCCCTCTGATGACCAGAGTTCAGGGTAGCTAGTCCATGGGGTCACCATGCTCTGTGTGCTTAGGAGCCAGGGCCTCAGAGTGAGATGAATCTGGGTGTCCAGATGTCATCACTTAATAGTTCTGTGACCTTGAATATGTTACTTAACCTCTCTAAGTCAGGTTAAATAAGATAGAGAAGGTATAGTAAGAACGTATAATAGTTCCTGACATATACTAAGTATCCAAAAGTATTAGTTGATTATTATTTCTTTTCTCTTCCAAGATATCCCTTCCCTAGGAATATAAAACTGCTCACTTGCAGCCACATTGGACTTTAGAGCAACGCAGGAGCAGGAAGATGGACTGGAGGGGCACAGACAGGGGAACAAAGAGTAGCCACTGCTGTACTTTTATAGCTTTGTATTTTAATTTGTTCTGTAAGGAGCCAAAAAAATGTTATATTAACAAAGGGACTAGAATTATGCTTGGAAAAAGGCTTGTACTGTTTGGAAGAAAACCAGGCAAGGAAATTCATTACTGCTTCATAGGGTGGGGCAATGAGAGGATAGAGAGGTAGGGGAGAGAGAAATGCAGAAAGTTGGTGGGAGGCCATTTGGATTCTGAGATGTGATTCCCTTTCCTCACCAGTGTCCCCACTCCAAATTATCAGAATATTCTACTTTGTATTACGGTACACTTGATAAAACGCATCATTTTTCATAACTAGTGAGTTCTGTGTCCACACAGATGTGGTGATACAGGGGTGAGAAGCAGAGAGGACTCTGACATTGAAAGACCACAGGAGTTGACATAAATCTTGGGACCTTTGGGCATTCCCTGGACATGGAAATTAACCAGTTCAAAGAAATTTTATCTAAAATAGGATAGGAAGAATCTCAGCTAACAAAAGTTGTAATTCATTGAACAAATATTGAGGGCTTATAATGAGCTAGGTCCTTGGCTAGGACCAGGGGATAAAAATAACAAAGGGCTGGGCATGGTGGCTCACATCTGTAACCCCAGCGCTCTGGGAGGCTGTGGCAAGAGGATGGATTGAGCCCAGGAGTTTGAGGTTGCAGTGAGCTACAGTGACACCACTGCACCCTGCCTGGGGCATCAGAGCAAGACTCTGTCTCAAAAAAACCCATAAACAAACAAACAATCCCCCAAACAAGACACGCTTATCAGAGAGAGAATGAGACAGGCAAGTAAATCCAGTGAGTTATCATGGCCATAGTAAGCCCAGGCTAGTGGGAGAGCACAGAGGATAGGTACCACCCCATCCTCATCAGAGCCAACGCTCCTTTCCATGTGTACATCCTGCACATTTCTTACTGGGATATCAACCCCTGTTAAAGGAGTTGGGTATCCACTTCTTGGTAGGATATGTTCAGAGGCACGGACCCTTGTGGGAAAGTCTGGGGACCGCAAGAAATAGATGTGGCGAAGAGAAGGCTCTGGAAGCTGGCTGGCTGTGGTATTGCCCGCTGTTGGTCCAGGTACAAGGGCCCGTCAGTAGCAGGTCTTAAATGGGAGGCTGCTTGACTTCATGCTTATTGCAGCTATCGGGATGGATTTCAAAATTTTTAATCAGAAAAACTGTAATTGTACATAGCAGCATGGGAGTCCTACTCCCATCCTTTGTTCTTATCCACTGATGGAAACGAGGCTGATGCTTCCTCATTTGGAGGCAGCAAGCGTGGCAGGTAAGAGCGCTGGCTGCAGTGCCAGACTACGGGGGTAACCGACGACGTAGGTCTCCTAGCTGTGGAAGGTTGGGTGAATTCTATCACCCTTTTGTGTCTCAGTTTCCTCGTCTATAAAATAGCTATGGTCATTGTATATACCCCATAGGAATATGAGAGGGTTCAAGGAGCTAAAATAAATGACAAGCCTGAAACAGTTGTCTAGAACATAGTGAATACTCAATAAAAGTTATCTAGAATAATAATTATTATATAATCTGACCCAGGAGAGGGAATGGAGAAATTTTGGCAGCCTCAGTCACTTGGGCATGAGTTTTAAATTCATTTTCTAACCTCTTCTAATGAAGTTTTGTATTTTATTTTAAAAAGATTTTTTCTTTGGGCTCTATTTCAAACAATTTCAGTTACCCTTTGCACCTATTGCCTTTTATCTTTACCCTCCTATTTGGATTATAATTCTGCCCATTGATGTTTTTTTTCTTGTAGATGATAAGAGCATGGGCACTGGATTCTAGACTAGAATACTGGCTCCAAGTCTTATTTTCTGGGCAGCCTTCAGCAAGCTGCTTAACCCCTTTGGGCACCGATGTCTCATCTCTAAAATTGAGGTATTACTACTAACCTTATTGAATTGCTGGGAGGACTAAAAAGGATATCAGCGCAACAAAATACGCCCCACTGGGCCTGCCGCTTCCCACAGGCTGTCTCCCTTCCTCCCTCTATCAGCCTCTGTAATGATGATCAAATCAGGAAGCTCTGGTCCTCACCCCACTCTCTAGCTAGGGATGTTCAATCCGCTGAAGTTGGCACTTGCGTCTACCCCAGCGGATTGCTTAGCAACCCTGAGTGAGTTGCAGCAGCCCTGAAACCAGTTTGCACCAACACGGTTTCAATGATTGCAGACTAACATAAGCATTAAGTGAAGCTGAAGGGCCAACAAATTGCCAGAGCATTTTCCTAACCCCTTTGAGCTTATGACTCCTTTTCCAAGAACGATATGTGATCTGATTAGAGAGTGGGGGTTCATGAAGAGCAAAGGCTTGTACAAAACATATTAAACAGCTTGCCCTTTGACCAGGACGGATGGTAGAACCCACTTAGCAGCTAACTTGGCATCCCATGAGTAATCTGGGGCACTCAAATGATAAGAAGTTTAGGAAAGATGCTTGGGAGTCTATAAACAGATGTCCCTTTGTAGTACCTCAGAAAAAGATTGAGCATCTACTTGAAGCCTTGAGGACTAACTTGCTTATTTTCATAACTTTAGAAATGCTGATGGAAAAGCAGTGCTTTGGTCATATGTAAATTAGCTCAGCCTGCCCTGGGGAGGTTGTTTAACTTCTTTTCTCTTTTCAAGATATCTTTTTTTTTTTCTTTCAAACTTTCTTTACATACCAGAAATCTGTGCTGCCGAAAGAAAGATGCTGTCCTGGGGAAAAAAGGATTTGGTTTCTGCTGATGACACTGTCCTAAGATGCGTCTAATCGTGTCCCACACAACACATGGCACGTTGTAGGGTCAGCAGATGCTGCTGACAGACTGACTGGTAGAGTGTCTGGCCCTTTAGGGAAATTAGACTCCATCTTTTATGTGTACTGGTGTGGAAACTGAGGCTCAACAAAGGAGAGTGTGATTCCCAAAGCCCAGGAGCTCTTGGCAGTGTTGGGACTAGAGCCCAGGTCTTCTGACCCAAGTGAAGGGACCGTCACCTATTCTGGGTGGTTAATGTTCAGAAAATGGCACATTTCTTAAGAACCAATGTAAATTATATAATCCTTAGAAAAATATTCTTTATTCAATCATTTAGAAAAATTTGCAGGACTACAGTAAATGTAATTTCCATGAAGTAAATATTTACCAAAAGAAAAAGCACAAAGAAAAAAATAGAAGAATAGCAGACTTAACATTTGGTATGTAGACAAAAAATAGCTTTGTTCTTCTGATCCTTTACACTCTTTGGCTGAAGACTCTTCCAGGTTTCATGGTGCCCACTGCCTAAGAAAGTAGCCCTGATATTTATTTTCCTATGTGTCCCCGATCTCCTTCCTAGCCTTGCCTTCCATTATCACCTTGACCTGTAGCCCACAGGTGGACATATGGCCCCAAGATTGACAGAAATGCCTACTGTTCTTTTCACTTCTCTACTTTTGCTTTTATTGTTCCCTTTGATTGAAATACATGTCCTCATCTTCTTGAAGGCCAAATTCAAGGCTCCTCTCTACCTGAAGCATCACTGATCAACAGTCTAAAATGACCCTTCTCACCCTCAAATTCCCATAAAATTCCACTTTAATGGAACATATGGAACTTACCACACATTAATTTGTATCAGTAATAATAAGAGTAGCAGCAACTGCCATCTCCTGAGTGCTTACTAAGCACTAGGTGCCATACTAGGCATTCAAAATATGTTACCTCATTCAGGTGTATAAAAATATTTTAATTTGTGTAGCAAATATTTTATCTCATGACTTATAAATTCTTAGAGGACAAAGACACAGAGAAATGCTCAGCACCTTGTGATCACAATTTATGCATGAAAAATATGTACAGAATGAAAAGCTAAACGTGAGAATAAATGTGGCCTTCTTCATTTTTACCTGTGCCCAAACAATTATTGATTTTCCCATTCTCATACTTTCTTTCAGAGAATCTAGCCAAATGAGGGATAGAATGGATTTGATTCTGATATATAGTAGACCATAGCAGATCTGCATTGACATCTGGTCAGAAACAAGGGCAGCTGAGTGGTTGTGCTCGCCTTACACTGGTCTTGGCTGGAATCCTGAGCTCATGGCCAGTGGACTCCATCTATTTAAATCACCTGCTTCACGAAAAATGGCACCTGAGATTTTGTGTCAGTGTCAAATACTTCTGCTGGAGAATTCAAGATGGCCAAATAAGCGAAGTGAGTGAAATGAAACTGTTGCATCATTGGACATTTTCAAGGATCTATCTGTGTCTATGAGCCTGGATAGGATCATTTAAACATGTATAAGCAACCCCACAGTTGTTTCTGGCATTGGTTTCTTATTCACGGCCAAATATTCTATTCTTCCGGTGAATTCTGTTGGTTACAATTCTGCTTGTACAAAATCTTGGCATCTCAACTGAGGGCTTTGGGATGCTCTCCAGTCTACATTTCTGTTTCTGGTTAGGTCTAATCTACCTAAACAGGTGTTTCTTTTGTTTCTTCAGGTCAGATACTAGGGGCAACTCTAGATGTAGAAATAAAGACTTTTAGTCTCCCACAAAATAAGTCATGCTTTCTGTCTCCTGGGACTGTTGGGAAATGGTGGTTATCAGGTTGTTAAAAAAAAAAAAACACAATGAGAAACTGAACACATGATAAAAAATGTTCACTTTTCTAGCATAAATCTAAGAACTGTTTATGCTGAACAGTAACAATTTACCCAGAAATGGGGAGAGCAACAGAAAAGTACATGATATTCAAGAAAACTGTGTGGCAATCTTAAAGTGACAGTGATAACAGTATCTCTTAATGCAAATATCTTCTTTGGATAGGCAAATCCTTAAAGTACATACGTAGAATCAGTGTCCTTTTCTTTCTTCCGTATTCCAAAGGCCTTCCTTGTACGTTTTTTCAATCCTGTGGGAAAATAGCAAAAGGGTCAAAGAAATCTATCACCAACATTCAAGTGAACATTCAGTTAAATTTGAGTATTCAAAAAGCAATGGAACTTTCTTCAATTGTCTGTATATGTGTGTATACATGTGCATATGATTCATTATTGCATTTTTCAATAGATATTTATCAAGGACTTGGCACTGTAAGTTCAAGCAACACAAAGATGTATGAGTACAGAAGAGATTGCAAGCTTTTCTTAGACTACAGTTATTCATCACCCAAACTGGGGCTCTGCCAAGAAGCCAAATCACAGATTTAGAAGAATAGCCATTTGTAGGTTAGACATACTCTTGAGGCTGGGATAATGCCAACACACAGATCATGTGAAGCATACCAAGAGAACTACACTGACCTGACATATCATTGTGTCCTGCATTTCCATCTCATCTGTTACTACTTTTTCTAATCTGTGGCTGGACTGGATTATTAACCATTCTCTGAACATACTTCAACACTTGTACTCCAGTATCTCTTTCTTCCTTCTGTGGCCCTTACCTCTGGCTGGAATGCTTTCCCTATGTTGTTGACTTTTAGAATTTCAATTCATCCTCTAACACCCAGGCCAGATGTCACCTCCTCTGTGAGGGCCTCTCAATTCTAGTGGTGGTGTAAGACATTGACTATTCTGTGCTCCCTGCAAAGTGTTACTTTTATAAATATTATAATATACGAAATGGTACCACTTATTAGTTCCTATGTCAGTTTCCCTGATAGTCTGTGAGCCTCTCTAGAACAAAGTCCAAAGCTCCCTCATTTTTAACTACCTTAATCTACTAGAGGCACAAGATAATATTTGTTGATTTAAAATATCTTGCAGGAAGCACTATTCCTGCAGCATTGGGGTCAGAAGGCCCCTTTCTTCCATCCTGCCAATCCAAACCCTGTCTTGTTTCTTTCATTCTTATCCTGCCAAAGCTCTGTTTGGGCTCCCGGCTCTTACATATTCCAAAGTTACAGAAGTGGCTTGTGTTTCTTATGCTAGTATTATGCAAATATGCTAAATCTCTATATATTCAAAACCTTACACTTATTACTGGTGGATTGGCAAGTCTTCTTGAGAAATTGGAGCTAAGAAAGTCACTGGTATTTCAGGGTTTGTTTGGCATTACCAGGTGGAACAAAAGGAAAAACACTGACAGAATCAGTGAGTTGATGACACGTTCTTCCAAAACATGTGAGTCAGCCTGAGCCGCTCAGATGATCTGAGTCATTCATTATCTGCCTCTTAGGATACTACTCAAATATAATCTTCAAGTTGTCTTTGCTCGGTCTAATTTTGCATTTTAATAGTCATTCCATTTAAGACATTTAGGTCTTTAAAATGTCAATGTTTGTTTTTTTAAAAAAATCTCCTCCTGCATAAAACTATTCTCTGTTACTCTCTGCATGATGAGTTTATAGAAAAACTTGACATTTAAAACTACCCACCTATAATATTTAGAAACACTTTCTCCCCTTTCATTTTTTTTTTTGTTGTTGTTGTTAAAACCTTTCTTCCTTTTCACCTCTAATTGCCTTATTCCCTTATAGGGACAAAATATCATAGTTATATAATGATCATTTTCTTCCTATAATTTTCCTTGAGTTTCAAGTCTCCAAACTGGCTTCTCTACGCTTCTAATTTAGCTTTGAGTTCACAATGAATGCCACATTCACCAATCACCATTGGTTTCTATAGGCCTAATACTATGCTTTCCAGTGCTTTATTTCCTGTCACTCAACTTATGAGATGAAATAGCATACCTTACCAAAAAAGATCATAAAATACACACAACTTCCAGTACATCTTGTATTAAATTAGTGACAAAACAGGCAATAGTTTCCATAGACCCTGTCCTGTTTTTGACCACCAGTTTTGGACAATAGCCAGTATGAACTAGGTTATGAACGTCACGAATTGTCCATTTTCCAGTGAAAAGGGCACTGGATCAGGGTTCAGGAAACATACAGTCCATTCCCAGCATCGTTTATAATTCTAGTTTAATACAAGTTACCTTCTCTTTATGTTTCAGTCTCCCAGTCTTTACTCATCAGCCAATAACAAGAGAGGAAAAAATTCGCATATCTTCACAAAATGCTATGTTAATCAGTAGCTTAATTTCACTGAAAGTCATGTTTCTAAGACATAGAATACACTCATACATGGAATATAAATACGAATACATCAAAGATGTAAAGCTTCAGGAAAAAAAATTAACCCTAATCAAATTGTTGAATTAGGACAAAAACATTAAAAACATCTTACCCACGAAAAGTAGAAAGATTTGAGAAGTTTAAGAAAAGTATGAAGAAAATTCTGAAAGTTTAAAGCAAAGTTATGAAATGTAAGTTATTCATACATTAACAGATCTTTGACAAGATCCAAGCAGAAACAATCACACCAACTGCATTAAGTGTGATTAAAGAGGTGCAGTCTTGCCTTTTGAGAATTTATAAAAAAAATTTTGAAAGATACTCTTCAAAAGACAGCAATGATAGTCAAGGATCTTATAGAAATAACAAGTTTAAGACACTATGTTTGATAATCTGATAAGCTTAAAAATACTATATCTAATGATTTCCCACTTCTAACTCTACAACTCCATGAAGACTTTAAAATCAATTTCTATAGTATAATTGTTTCTGGGGTGAAGCATATATTTTTTGTTAGTTATTCTTTTTTTTTTTTTTTTTACCAAAAATGGGAGGTCAAAAGTTGATTATTTTTGGAAAAAAAATATTTGTTTTGAAAAATTTGATTTGTTTTGAAAAATGAAGTGACTTTTCCCTATCAAAACAAAGAGATCTAAAGGGAAAGAATTTTACTGTCTTGATAATCTAGGGCTAGAATGGCTCTCTCCCAAGTTGTAGAATTGAGAACACTTTCCTGTGTGAATCTAGAACTGCAGTCTTGGATCGGCCACACTGGGAGTCGGGCCTGTGCCTCTAACCTCTCCACCTAATAGGATTCCTTTAGCTTCCTTTGGTGTTATGGGAGAAGCCTGTCAAGTTTGGGAATAACAACAACAACAAAAAATTAAACATAGATGGATTTTTAGAGGTTGGAAAGCTTATTTCAATCTAGATAAATGTCACAAGATAAATAAAGCAACCAATATATAAACTGATGATAGTGATAGTGCCAAAAATACAGAGTAGGAAGAAGTTTTATCTTGGTAGTACTACTTAGCTACCATTACTAAAGTCCTGCCTATGGAACAGGTCCTAGTTGCATATGATGTCTCATTTAAATTTCTTATAAACCTTGTGAAAAAGTAAGTGGTGTTTTCGCCTCAAGTAGTGAGCCTGAGAAACTGCCTAGGTTTATTAGCATCACCTCCAGAGAGGAAACCAGAGGCTCGTCTTTCTCCACTGCTCCCCCAAATGTTGGGGTTCTTCAGGGCTTTGTCCTAGCTCTTCTATACCCTTTCCTGAGGGCAATTTCATCCACTCCCATGGTTTCTTTTATCATATTTATGCAGATAAATCCTGACTCTATAGGTGAGGCTCAGCACAATCTCACGAGCTGCTGAATATTTAGGACTCCCTAAAAATAAAATATTTTTCTCCCTAAAAATAAAGACTGGTCCTGGGGGTGGACAGGTGGAGGTAGCACTCTGGGAGCTGAGCCCCACACAGGAGATACCGAGGTGTTGGCATTCTGGAGGCAGAAGCTGAAGACCAGCCACACAGAAGATGCTGGTAGCCTTAACCAGAGATGCCATCCTGCCACCCAGAAGTGTATGCAGCGAGTGCTGCCAATGACCTCTGCTTTCTCTCCTTGTCCCAGAGTCCCACCATTCCACTGCTAGCTGGGAAGACAACAGTGTGGAGAGGCCGAATGTAGAATGGTCACCTCTCTATCAGAATCTTGGCAGCAACTGGCTTATCACCTGAACTAAAGGGGCTGCGCTAGGAAGAGGTGTGGGGCAGGTATAACGGAGAGGAGAGGCCAGGTTCTAGGCCTGGGGTGGGTGGTGGTCGGGGGTGAGCCCACAGGTGAGGGTATTCTGTGTTTTTTGATTGTTGGAGGAGAGAGCCCCCTTGAAGGACTGCTTTTTTGCCTACTTTTCCTTACTCACCACACACTCTTGCTAGACAGTGCTTCCTCTCATCGCTTTTTACTGTGGTGTTTAAACTGCCATATAAATGTACTGCCTTTAACACTGTGAGAAGGCACCGCTTTTGTCGACCATGTTCCTGGGGAGCACTTGTGCCTACTGCTCCCCACCCCTCTCTACACCGTGCTTTTGAGCAGAGCTTGGACAGGGCAAGGACTAGGAACAAAGCCGATGCACTTGGCTTTGGCGTTCTGGAGGAAGAAGAGGAGCTTTAGGAGGAGAGGGCGGGTTGGCGGTGACAGCTGGTTAGGGTCAGTACACAGGACTCTGTGAATGGAGGAACGCAATCCATCTCCTCATGTGTCTCCCCCAGAAGCGTGCAGTTGCTCTCTCCCCAAAGCAGAAGCAGAAATACAGGGAGCAAAATGCATAGCTTTCTTCAGAATCCAAAGATCTGGGTTCAAGACCCAATTTGACTGCTTGCAGGCTGTCATCTGCAGCAGCATGGATACAGAGTTTAAGAGGTGCTACTTTCCATATAAGATTCATTTTTCTCACAGGACGTGAGGTTTAGAAGGACAACCCTGATTTCTCTCTCCATAATCACTAGGGATGAGGGAAAGGCAGCTCTTGTTTACTGAATACCTCGTACGTGCCAGGCACTGTGCCAGGCACTTCACAAAGACTAACTTTACAACCAGCCCAGAAGGCATTGCTAACCCTTTATTTTATGAATTAAGAAACAGACTTAGTGGGTAAGTTTCTCTTCCGAAGTCACTAAATAAACAAGTAGCAAGACCAAGATTTTGAGCCAGGTTTGGCTCCAAAGCCAGGCAACTTCTCACAGAGTGGGCGTGATGAGCCTTGCAGTGTTCTGAGCAATGCTTGGTCCATGGTGGGCACAGCGTCAGTGTTTCATGA